ACTAATCCAGCGGCCTCGTCCCTCTTGGTTCTCACAGGCAGCCCCGTGGCACGTGTTGGCCGGGGAGTCCCTTGTAGGAAAAGGAAGCGTCCTTCTCTCCCTCTGCGCTTTCCAAAAGGTGGGAAGGTCTGTTTCGGTTCCCAGTGCCCCTTTGGGTTGAATCCTCCAACTCTGAAAAGGCCCAGTCTGACTTGGTTTACACCCATGCTTGGCCCACGGGCCCCTGGGGGCACAAAATTCCAGAGGACAACCTCAGCCTCAACTTGCCAATTGGAAAATACTCCCGTGGGACAAAACCACCAGTCTGCGGTGCAGGTTACATCTCTGCTTCTCCGACCCTAATGACACAGGACCAGTGTGGGGTTCCTTGGACTCTCCCTCTGTAAGGGATCATGACTTAAAAAACAAAAAGAAGGGAGACCTCACTGAAAACCCAAGAGAAAGCTGAGCGATGGGTACTACGAGCACCTCTTCTCTGACCCTCCCTTCCTTTTGGTGGCGAAGCAAATGCTGTAACTAGTCAGGAACTCAGAGAGGCTCCTGTAAAAGTAAGTGACACCTGGGCTTGTCCCAGGGCTTGGGCCTTGTACACAACAAACCAGAACATTACCTTGTCTCTTGGTTTCCTCTTCCCACTCTCCTCACCCAAAACACTGCATACGAAGCCCCCCACAGCCAAGCCACCGAAGGACCCCTCGGTGCACAGACGCCTGCTTTTCTGGAGCCAGATCCTCCTGCGTAGGCGCATGGCCACCCGAGTCTCCCCACTGACACTGGCTGACAGTCCATCTTGAAGTCTGCCTGGCTACAGGGCAAGACCAGCCCAGCCTGCCCTGCAGGCGCTGGCATCTGTTTCCTCGCAGGAGCTCATGCCGTGCCTTTCTCCCGGAGGGAGGACTGGGCTGCCTATATCTCAGCCTGCCTGTGACCTGAACTCCCTCCTCACCCTGTCTCTGAGCCGGTCAAGGTTCAGAAGGTCTCGCAGTTCATCCTGCCTCTCGGTCCCCAGGAGTGCGGCCCAGCCCCTCCCGGGACTCCTCAGAGCAGTGCTCTCGCCCCCCTTCGCACTGTCGACCCATTTACTCCTCACTCTCCTTGCTTGCTGTCTTCCTCTCCCCTACACTCTGTCAACTCCGGCCTGAAGCCCTAAAGGGCCATGCAGGTCTGTCCCATTGGGCAGCCTCTACCGCTGGTGCTACCAATGGGTCGAATGGATTTGATTGGTCTTTTGGCTACTAAAATTACTAAGATGTTTCTAAATGGGCCCAATCTCAGTAGGTGCTTGAATCTGAGTAATGACTGCCCAAATGTAAATGTTAATTGACTGAAGAGAGAGATTTGTGCCAGTACTGTTCGGAAAAGTGAAGGCAGATGTCTTGTGCTCCGGGGGAAAGACTTGGGGATGACAGTACGCAATGTATGCCCCTGATTGACATGTTTGGAAATTTTGTTTCACTTTTCTTTATTTTTTCTTTTTCTCCTTTAAATGAAATCGATTTGGAAAAAACAAGTAATTGATACTATTCATGCCAATTTAAAAATGATTGCAGCACTCAAACTTATCTCATTAAATTCAAAGAAACGTCTTTATATTCGTGAATTTCTTTGAAACGTCTTACATCTAAAGGCAGCTGATTTGTGCAGGGTACACTAAACATCATCCACCGTGCGGGGTTTTTGCTGCCACAGCACCACCCAGTTTTTTTCAGGTAGTCGCGCCTGGGCCGCCAGTGGTTCAAGCCGGTGGGAAAGTCCAAGTCAACCCAGAGCCACCGGCAGTGGGACCTCTGAACTACAGCCCTGCCTTGCACATGGAGGGTGTCCCTGGCCGCTGACCCCGGCTTGTCTCTTCTGTGCTGCTCAAAGCAGCTAGAGCATTCATTGTCCCTTTCCCTAATGGCAGGTAGTGTCACCTCTTCAGAGGGGACTGTAACAGGAGCTAGTAAGACAGGAGTTAGAGTTCCCAAAGTGGGGTCTGCTGAGTCCTGACCTCCAGACATCTCACACAAATATCCTTCTGGTGCCCTTGGGTGTCTAGGACCCCCTAACCGCAGAGCGTCCTCAGATGACCACTGGCCCCAAGACACATGGGCCCTTCGTGGACACCGCATGGACAGTGCCTGAATTGGACCTGCAAAGTGTGCAGTCTCCTCTAGGGCAGAGATTCTGTGACTTACACGACAGCCCGAGTTTCCTTCTAAATTCCTTAAAAACTCCTAGACACAGAGCAAAAGCCCTAGGGGCTGGGGATTTAGCTCAGCGGCATAAGCGCCTGCCTTTCAAGCAGGCAGTCGTGAGTTCGATCCCCGGTCCCGACAAAAAAGAAAAAGATTTTTTAAAAAAAGACAGTTTCCACAGCAGTCCTTTGTTCCTCTCTTCGTACGTCTCCCTACTCAAGTGAGATACACCACACAGTGTTTAGGCGTCTACGTTTTATTTGTTTCCCTTAACATTGTATTTTTCAGGCGCATCCATTTTCCCACAGATATCACAAATTGATGTTTTTTATTGCTGAATGGTACTCCAGTATCTATAGACAGCACATGTTTTTACCCACCCATGTGTTGGTGAACTGTGCTGCTAAAAACACGGGTGTTTGTGTCACTGTAGTATGATGTCTTTAGCTATCTTAGGAAGATACTTACGAGGGGAATAGCTGGGTCCAATGGCATGTCAAATGCTTTGAAAAACCTCCATATTTTTTCTATAATGCATATACTATTTTACATTTCCACCAAAAATGTGGGAGAGTTCCTTTCTCACCACAGCCAAGTCAAACTATTGAACTTTGAAAAAGAAGGTTGAAGAGGACATCAGAAAATGGAAAGATGTCCCCTGTTCCTAGATAGGTAGAACTGATATTGTCAAAATGGCATCCTGTCAAAACTGTTTCATAAATTCAACATAGTCCCAATCAAAATACCAATAGCATTTCTCATGAAACTAGAGAAAACAATCCTAAAATTCATATGGGATGAAAAGAGATCTAGAATAGTAAAAGGCTTCTTGGGCAACAAAGGTAAGGCAGGGGCATCATTTTCCTGGACTTCAGGTTATACTACAAAGCTACATTGATAAACCAGCATGGTACTGGCACAAAAATAGACTCACTCGTCTGTTACTTTCTCATCACCAAGACACAAGACCCAATACCCACAATTTCTTCCTTTATTGATTTATTTTTGGTACCAGGAAGCAAACTCACAACCTTGCACTTACCAGGCAGGCGCTGTGCACACTGAGCTGTAATCCTCATCCTGTCCTTTTTTTTTCTTTTCGTCTTTTTGAGGCAAGGTCTCACTATACCATTCAAGCTGGCCTTGGGCTCACTTTATAGCCCAGGCTGCTCTCGAACTTGCCTCAATCCTGTCTCAGCCTCCCAGGTATTGGGATTACAGCTGTTTAACACCATGCCTGACTGGTATCCACAATTTAAAGCAGAGATATAGTCTGGCTCATAGTTTGTAGAGGTGTCAGTCGCAGTTGGCTGTTCCAAGGCAGGGTACCATGGCAGAGGGGCAAGGTGGACAGGAAGCAGCAGCTATCAAGGCAGGAGGGACGTAGACCCTTTCAGGCCACACACCGGTGACTCACTCCCCCCCACCCCTGCCAGGCTTCACCTCCCTACATCACTCCCAGATATAAATCCAGTGATGGACTAACCCAGTATCACACCATGAATGACAACATGAGGTTTGGGGCTGGGTGACACCCGGGTATAAACACTAATACGTGTGGATCAGCAGAACAGAATAGAGGACATAGAAACATTCCCAGACACATTCGGCTGTCTGCTGTTTGACAAAGGGGCCAGAAACATGCCGGAGGAAAGCAAGTGGCTTTAACAAGTGGTGCTGAGAAAACTGACCGTACACAGGCAGGAGACTGAAGTTGGGCATGTATCTCTTTAAATTTTATTTTTATTGGTCCATGTTTGCATACATGAAGATCACATTGATCATAGGGAGTCAGCACATGTACCCAACACTTCTTCATTCTGCTTCTGCCTCTGTGCATGTGTGTGTGTGTAGTACCAGGAATCAAACTCAGGATCTTGCACTTGCCAGGCAGGCACTTATACCGCTGAGCTACATCCCCAGCCCTCCCTTCCTTTTCTGCAAAGGATCTGTCCTGCCCCCGAGAAACAAACAAGGTCCCAGCCTCTCAGTTAAAGTAAGAGTGGAAGGACCAGGAGAGAGATGAGGTGAGGTGGCCACACCAGGGTCACAGTGGGAGATGACAGTGGGTCACTCCTCCCACGGTGAGCACGGGTCTGAAATTCTCCCTGCTCAGTCACTGAACGATTTCTAGAACAGGCCCATTCACCCCATGGAGCTGTGGCTTTGTCCATGTCCCCTTGGTCTGGCTTGGGCTGTGACAGGTGCTGATAGGCACTGCAGACTGGCCATGGCAGAGCCTCAGGATCACCTGGACACAGGCTCTGTGTGGGCATGAAGCAACAGCACCCGCCTCCAGCCACCCCACAAGAGCTAGGTTCACAGGACCTTCCCTACCTCTTCTAGCAGCTTCAGGGGTGCCACTCCCTTGGCTGGGACCCACCTTCACGGGCTTTTCCCCCTGCCCTGGTCTCTTCTGTCCTTAGAGGACGCCTGTCCTTGGGTTAGGGCCACCTGCATAATCCAGGTGTTTCCCCTCAACACCCAACACTCATCCTTCAGCTGTCTGCAAAGACCCCTGTCCTGTAAAGGACCTGAGTATCAGGATGCAGATCACCTTTTGGGGGCCCCCTCACCCCACCATGCCTCAGGAGCTCAGACCTGGGCCTTCCCGGCTCAGGGCCCTGACAAGGGGATCCGCTCCGGCACCAGGGCCTGGAGCTCAGGGTCCCTGGGGGCAGCTCCGACGCTGCTCCTCCAGGGCAGGCCCGAGGCTGAGAAACACTCTCCCCACAGCCGGAAAGAAGCCCAGGAGGAGTGTGCAGGCCCCCCACGCTGGGCCACGCAGGGCCAGGCCCTCCGGGCTCCATGATGACAGCCAGGATGTGCTGCCTGGCCCAGGGCCCCCTGAGAACCAACTGCGAGCCTGGAAGTTTTGTAAGTGCAGGTGCGGCTCAGCGCCCACCGGCATTCCATGCTGCAGCCAGGGCTGAGAGGGCAGGGCAGAGCCAGGCAAGGTAGCTGGGGAGTTTGCTACCTTTCTTGGAGGATTTTTCCTCCCTCCACCTCCTCCTCCCTCTCCTCCCCCTCTTTCCCCTCCCCTCCCCCTCTTCCTCCTCCTCTTTCTCCTGCTTTCCCTCAAGGAGCTCATCATTGTCAACACAGCCCTGAGATTCCATCCCGGATCCACCTTGGATCATCATGTGTCAGAAAATGGCCAGAAAGCCCACTCTGCCGCTGGCCTCCTCTCCCCACGGTCTTGCACCCAGGTCCTTTCTTCTACTTCCAGCCCCCTCCCGCCCCTCCAGCTGCATCCATCCCCCCACCCCGTTCACATCCCCCACTTTCGACCCTTGCCCTCTCCGTTTATGCAAGCTGGTGCTTTACTGGGTGACCACAGCTCGGCCACTTGATGCTAACACCCCAAGGGGCCCCATGGGCCCCTGCCGGATGGACAGACCCCAGGATGGGCGTAATCCCCAGGGGCATGGCCCAAGGGAAGTGCTCAGCCAACCATGACCCCTCCCCTGTCCTCCTCAGGATCTGAAGCCTGGGAGACCACTGAGAACCTGGTCCTCCGTGCCCCAGTCCTCGGAGCAGTGCGGATGGGAAGCGGAAGTGCCCCCAGGGTGCGTGGGGAGCAAAGCCAGAAACCCCAGTGGGGCTGGCGCGGGCCGGGCCGCCCTCCGGCCGAGCTGCGCATGCTCTGTGCCCCCCCCCCACAGCGCCCAGTTCCCACGCCGCAGCCGCCCTGGCCCCGCCTGCTCGCGGTCCCGCTCCTCTGCAGCGCGGCCAGCGGGATCCACCGACAGCAGTCCTGCACCGCCTCCCTGGGTAGCGCCAGAAGCGAGGCCCAGATCGGTTGGGGGCTCCCAGCCCTCCAGCCTCCTGGGGACACCGCCCCCAGAGGGCTTCTAGGAGGCAGTGGCCTTGGATTCGGGCTTGCCAGGGGCAGAAGGGGAGGCCAACAGCACTGGTTGCGCGAGGAGCCCAGGTAGGCGGGACCGGCGGGGACTGGGGAGCCGCTCTCTCGGCAGAGGTGCGGGAGAGCGGGCACAGGTGGCCGTAGGTCCATGGAGCAGCCACAGTGGCAACAGTTGAGGACGCCCTGGAAGGCGGCAGAGAGCAACTAGGCTGGCTCTGGCGCTAGGGGCTCCTGGGAAGAGGGCAGCAAGGCCAGCACCAGGAGTGCGCGCAGTGGCTCTCCTCCGGTTGCGTTTCAGCGCTAGTCCTGGGGCCTGCACGGCACGGCACGCAGACGCCCATCCGGATACCCCAGGGAAGTTGGGCTTTTGCATCTCTAAGTGTGGGAACTCCAGGCAACCTGGCATTGTGAGGTCATGGCACTGGTTCCCAGGGTCACCTGGCCAGCTGTCACAGGCACTGGCCCTGATGGTCCCCCCATGTCGTGCCCCTGCAGCTGTGATCAGGGCTAGGGTGGTGTCCCTCTAAGACACATGTTGATGCATGCAGAACACACCAGCAGCACACACCTAGGGGAGGTGACACTGGTCCAGGACTGAGACTAGAAGACGAAGGGAGGGATGGAATGCGGGGAAGGGCTCCAGGGAATGAGCCTTCCCTGCAGGGCCGGTTCCCGCTGGTTCGGTCAGCCCAGTAACTGCCCAGTGCCCCCGGGCACCAGATTGCTGCTGACATCCAAGATCTATTGGGGAACAGGCAGGTTCTCGCTTTAGTGGCAAAGCACAAATAATAAACAGGCAGTGTTTCCCATTCAAAATTAGAGAGCGGGCCAAAAGGCGGGAAGAGGCAGGGAGGGGGGCAGTCGCGGGTCACGCAGCACACTCTGAGTAGATCTCATTTCAAAGCTCCTGTTCTGCAAACACTTGAAGTTGGCAAAAGAGTGAAGCATGTGCTAATGTTTTGGAAGCGCATTCCAGACAGAGAGAATAGCTGTGCCAAGGCCCTGAGGCAAGAGTGGCCTGGCTTGGTGGAAGCCAAAACTGCAGGAGCACAGGGCAGGGCAGGGCTGGGCGAGGTCATCGAGGGCCTGTGGCTTTCCACCCAGGGAACGGGCATCCCCGGAAGGACCGGCCCACCTGTGGGAGGCAGCCCTCAACACACGGCACGTGTGGCCCTCTAGATGTCATCCTCTGCCCCTGTAGGCTAAGACCCAGAGGCAGTGCTTGCAGGGAACTCCCAGGAAGCCTGGCCAGTCCTGGGTGGGCTTGGGGTGGGAGGGGTGCCTCCCGGGGCCTCCCACCGAGAGGTAGCTGGTGACAGGGCCTCTGGGTGGAAAAAGCAGCTGGGCCTCGAGCTGCTGGACCCTAGAGGAAGTGCCACCCGAGTGACCCTGCCTGCTGTCCTTGTCCAGGCAAAAGGCCCCAATTCCTGATCCCCAGAGCTGGGATCCTGAAGGCTGTTGTGACGTTGTTTTGTTTGGTTTCTGGTTTTTTCTCTAGCTTTTTTTTTTTTCCCCCCCTGGGGAACGTGCCCCACCTAGTGGTCCTTGAGTAGGATGGGAGTAGGATGGTACCCAGGCGCGAGGGTGGCCCTTTTGATCCCTGGGCGCACTCTTCCCGCCTCATCCCCCTCTCTATCCCTACAGCTATAACCGCCGGAGTCCCCAGCCTCACTGCAAGCTGGGCCCACGCCGAGGGGGGCCCAGGCAGGCAGGCCTTGCCAGCTTCTCCCGAGGTGCAGTCTCAGGGTCCCTCGCCCCCCACAGCCCTGCGGCAGGTTGATGAAAGTCTGTGCTCTGGCTGCCCGCAAGGGACCCGTTTTGGGGGACCTTGCTCTGGGTCGGTGGAGGCAGCCGCTCCCCCTCCCTCAAGCAGCCAGCCTTGCAGTCCGTCCTGGCAGGAGTTGCCATTAAGGCTGGCTCTGGGGTCAGCTGCCATCCCCTCCTGCTGGCAGGCTTTGGGACATGATGGATTTGCCTCTCCTGGACATAGCATATATTTTAAGATTTAAAGGGGTTTTGGGGGTGGCCGCCTACCACACAGTGATACTCAGGTGCCCAAAAGCAGAAACTTTTGTTCTTTGTAGCTCTGAATGGGAACACTGTCCTATGAGGCCATGTGAGGGGACAGGGTGACAGCAAGCTGGAGCTGAAAGGACAACTTATGGCAAATGTGAACAGTGGTGTGGGTCCTGGGGCTTGGGGCTGTCCCTCCTCTAGAACTAGCCCTGGAGTGTGGGGCCATAAGGAGTCCAGTGGCTGCGTGGTTAGTAAGTCCAGAACCGTGACTCGGACACCAGAAGTGGGGGATGGGGGCCCAGCAAACTGCCTACAAATGACAGGAACAAGAGAAATTTCAGCCACAACTGGAAACTAGGTCAAAACAGCTCTTGTGAAACATGGTGTTACATCATATAAATGGAATCCTACAAGATGTGGCCTTTTGTGTCTGTGTCTGGCTTTTTTTCACTTGAGTAAAATGTCCTTGGGATTCAACCACACTGCAATCACAATCTTTTCCTTTTTATGGCCAAGTAATATTCCATCATACATATAGACCACACTTGATTTCTCTGTTCTTCTGAGATGGGCATTTGGGCTGTTTCCACCTTTTGGTTCATGTGACCAGTGCTGTTGTGTGAACATGAGTCTAACTCATCAAGGAAATACCCGAATGGTTTGCAGGGCTTTTTCCTTTCCATTGTGAACACTGTTAGTCAGCTTTAGCACAATACCTGAAACAAAATAGCAAAATACCTGAGATGTGTAAAGAATGTTTGGTAGTGTTCAGCCTGTGGCCCGTCAGCCCTGTGCCTTGGACCTGTGGCTGGACACTAGAGCATGAGATGTTGGGACATGGTGGAAGGATGGCAGAAAGGGCCACACCCAGGGACCTAAAAACCTCTCGAATACCACCCTCCTGGGGACTGAGCCTTTAACACAGGCCTTTGGGTGGGGGGCATTTGGGATCCACACAATGGCAACTATGGCGAACGGCTAGAAACCCAGGTCACTTCCACTTGTTGACCCTTCTTCCTGGTTTAATGGTCAGATTTTCCTGGAGTATTTCAAGGGAGTTGCACGCCATTCCCACCTCACATTCTGCAATGTGCGCTTGTCAGGGGGGGTGGAGTCTTTTTTTTTTTCTTTTTGGTAGCAGGGATCGAACTCAGGACCTTGCGCTTGCCAGGCTGGCACTGTGCCACTGGGATATACCCCTGGCCCTGAAATGTGCATTTTTTGGTCTTTATGAGACAGGGTCTCACTATATAATTCAGGCAGGCCTTGTACTCTCAGTGATCTTCCTGCCTCAGCCTCCAGAGTGCTGGGATTGCAGGCTTGGGCCACCACACCCAGCTTGCAATGTGCATTTTAAGAGGACACTCTTCCTTGAGCCAGTGCCATCCTTCACCCAGCCAGCTGCATAGTTGCCACCCTCCTGTCATCTGTCCCACCCTCTGCTCCATGGTCAGGATGGGTTCCTCACTTTTGACCAGCAAAGGACCAGCACAAGACACTGTGACATGTGACGTCCTGTTCTCCCTGTCTTTCACCTAATGGCTCTAAGATCCACTCTTATCACTCAGGGACCCGTTCTTCTGCTTCATATAAACTCCTCCCCCAGAAGCATGGCTTCATGTTTGGTCACCACAATCCATAAGGGATTTGGAGTGATGTAAATGCCAGATGACTGTGACAGCTGGCTCCATGCTCCGGGGCCCTGTCCCCTCACTCTCTCCTGCAGCCTTGGCATTGGCACGGACAAGGTAAAGTCTCCAGTCAAGACTCAGTGCAGCTGGGCGTGGTGGCGCACGCCTGTCATCCCAGCACTTGGGAGGCTGAGGCAGGAGGATCATTGCGAGTGCAAGACCAGTGTGGGCTACAAAGTGAGCTCATGGCCAGCCTGAATTGCATGATGAGACTCTGTTTCAAAAAGGAAAAAAAAAAAAAAAAGAGTCCGTGCTCCCTTGAGCCACTCCCCCTAGCAGCTGTCGCCTGCTTGCTCTGCTCCCACATCTGGGACTTCCCTGTTGTTGGTCTTCCAGTAGACAGAAATGATATTCTTGGAGGAAATATTCCCTGCGATGGATGTGGAGAAGTCTGTGGCCAAGATGGCTTTTGTCCAGTTGGTCCATTTTGTACTCTTTCTGCCCTTCATGTGGACCTGAGTCCCTACTAGACCTCCTTGGTCCCATCTTCTGGGCCCATCCTCTCAGGCTGCCTGAAGGCCAGGGTATGTGCTCTTGGCCTGCCCCTTGCCCAGCGTGCCCCCCACCCTGCCCAAGAGAGCACCCTGCTCCTCCTGCGGGCCCCTCCTTCCCACCAGCTGCTCTTCCGCACATGTGTGCCTGGACCCCTTCGTTTGGGTCCTGAACTCAGACCCAAGGAAAGGGGTTGATCAGCGATGGAGCATCCAGGAAAGGCTGGAAAGCTGGGGTTAGGGATGCTGGGCACATGGAAAGAGAGCTGGGAAAGGAAGAAATGGGAGGGGCCAGGGATTTAGCTCATCAGCTTAAGTGCCTGCCTGGCAAGTACGAGGTCATGAGTTCGATTCCCAGTACCCACAAAAAAAGTGCTAAACATACTGAAAAAAAAACATGAGAAACTGGGCTGGGGATTTAGCTTAGCGGCATAAGCACCTGCCCCACAAGTGCAAGGTCATAAGTTCGATCCCTGGTACCAAAAAAAAAAAAAAGAAAGAAAGAAAGAAAGAAATGGGAAAAGAGGAAGGCAAGAGAAACAAATTCCCCAGATAGGTGGGTCAGGCAGGCCTTGACAGCAGGAAAGGTGGACATGGGATCCTGCATGGTTGCACAGGACTGAAGGGCGCTTGGGAGCCCTCTGTGCTGGGGGCTGCACTGTGGCCCTGGGGCTGTGCTGGAGTCTGACCCCATAGGAGATGGGGTCCTTGCCAGTCCCCAAGGAAGATGAGGTCAGATTTCAGCCAGGATCAGTGGCCTAGGGTCTCAGACTCCCAGTGCTGTCCAGCTTGGGCTCAAAGAGGGTGGTCAGGGGCCTCAGCAAGGCCACAGGAGGGACAGAGCCCATCACTGTCCCTGCAGAGAGGCCAGGGCTTGAGGACATCGGGGGCTGAGCCCAGGTCCCCAGGGAAAGGCCACTCACCAAAGCTGGCTAGTCTGGCTGCTTCTGACCCTTCCCCACTTCCCCAGGGTGCCAGCGGCGATGGCAGCCATCCTCCTGCGGCTTAGGCCCAAGGTGAGTGGCCTCCCAGACCCTTCTACCCTGCCACTGCGCGGCCGTTCTGGGGGTGGGGGGACCCCATGTCTCCCTAGTTCCCCTGGGGGACCTGAGGCTTGAATCCAAGACCACCACAGGAATGGCGTATTGTAGGTGCCAATATCTTTTGAGGATGTGTCTGTGTACTTCACGAAGGCAGAATGGAAGTTTCTGGACTTCAAACAAAAAGCCCTCTACAAACAGGTGATGTTAGACAACTACCGGAACTTGGCATCTCTGGGTAAGTGACCACTGCACACACACTGGGGCCCACCTGCTAAGTCTGGGCTCCACCATTAATTTCTAAGTTGCCTGGTTTGCCAGTTACACTGAGCCCAAGCATAAATGAATCTCTCCATCAGACTGGTAATCCCTTGTGAGGCAGCCATCGTGTCAGTAGGAGTTTTCAACTGTCAGATGGCTGGGACCTGTATATGTCTGGGGTAAATGTGTAGGCCTATATTAATTTTGCACATGAAATTGTGGATTGACCAAAGATATTTCTACTTAAAAGACAGGTGTTACAGTGGGATAGATACCTAGATCAACAGATGCAGATACAGATATACCTACCCACAGAGGCCAACAGAAACCGTGTCCACACTTCAGGAAAAGAAAAACGTGTGCAAATATTTTAATACGCTTATCTGTGGGGGACTCCAGAGAATGCCGTGCATCACAGAAAATCCCTACACAGCTGACCCTCGGAGAAGCAAGTGGAAATGCAGGTGCACCAATCTTGGTGACCAAAGTGAGCGACCCACGCAGCAGTTCACCGTCCTAATCGATGTCTGCAAGTTCGTGGCCACCACTCTGGGCAGCTCTTGTTATTGTAGAGGCCAAAGGGAGCTTGCATTAAATCTCACGATGTCTCCATAAATGTCACATTAAAATAGTTACGTGACATTTTCTTTTCCTGAAATGTGTATACACTTTTGATGGAATATATTGCACACAACAGGGTCTCCTCAAACTCACAGTAATCCTCCTGCCTCAGCCTTCCCCGTGCCAGCAAAGGATAGGCATGCACCATTACGCCCAGCTATACTAGAGTATTTAAATGCGTTATTTCAGACATAGGTTGTTCTTACAACACTTGGATAGTATAGCTGGGCGTAGTGGCACACACCTGTCACTGAAGCACTCAGGAGGCTGAGGCAGGATGATTGCTATGAGTTCAAGGCCAGCCCCAGCTACACAGTAAGTTCAAGGGCAACCTGAACTACTCAGCGAGACCCTGTCTCAAAACAAACAAACAAAACGAGCCCTCCTGCCACTTCACGGGGAAAGTCGAGGGTCATGGGCCGGATCTCTGGAGGATGGGTGACACTAGCTCTGCTCTGCTGAGTGTGGCGCTGAGAGGACTCCAGGAACTGACCTTTCCTGGTGGGCAGCTGGCACATCGAAAGCAGCTTCCCTTCTTGTTGCCTCTGTGGCCCAGCCTATGGTGGAGGACTAGCTCCATACTGGCTCTTCTGACCCTCCCAGGCAGGTGGCTTCTGGGGGAGGGGCTGCAGGTGCAGCGGGCCAGCGACCACTCTGCCCTCACTTCATCTCCTGGCTCAGGACTGGCGTGCTCCAAGCCTCACCTGGTGGCCCAGCTGGAGCGAGGGGAAGGTCCCTGGGTGGCCGACCTCCGATGGAAGGCCGGTGAGTGGGCTGCCACGCTGGCCTCCTGTGGGTGGGACCTACCCCTGTCCCTCGCCCTTTCCGCGTCACCTCGCTTGCCCTCTGCTCTCCTAGCTGCCTGCCTCGCGCTCCTCTGCTCTGGGTCACCTTGCTCCTGCCCCGGGAAGGCGTGACACCTGTTGGCCGCCTCTGTTTCTGCAGGCGGCAGGCTACAGAGCCCCGGCGCGGCGAGGAGGAACCCAAGGCAGGGTGACACCGCGGCGGCGGCGCAGAGGGGTCCCCAGGGCCGCGGTCCCGCTCCGAGGCCCCAGCGACCCAAGGGCTCCGAGAAGCGGTACTTGTGCCAGCAGTGCGGAAAGTCGTTCAGCCGCAGCTCCAACCTCATCAAGCACCGCATCGTCCACAGCGGCGAGAAGCCGTACGCGTGTCCGGAGTGCGGGAAGCAGTTCCGGCGCAGCTTCGCGCTGCTCGAGCACCGGCGCATCCACAGCGGCGAGAAGCCGTTCGCGTGCGATGAGTGTGGCAAGACCTTCACGCGCAGCTCCAACCTCGTCAAGCACCAGATCGTGCACAGCGGCGAGAAGCCCTACTGCTGCGCCGAGTGCGGGAAGCTGTTCCGCCGCAGCTTCGCGCTGCTGGAGCACGAGCGCATCCACAGCGGCGAGCGGCCCTACGAGTGCGTGCACTGCGGCAAGGCCTTCAGCCGCAGCTCCAACCTCATCGAGCACGAGCGCACGCACAGCGGCCAGCGGCCCTACCTGTGCGACCAGTGCCCCAAGGCCTTCACGGGCATCTCGCAGCTCATCCACCACCAGCGCAGCCACAGCGGCGGCAGGCCCTTCGCGTGCCGGGAGTGCGGGAAGGCGTTCCGCGGCCGCTCGGGCCTCAGCCAGCACCTGCGCGCGCACAGCGGCGAGAAGCCCTACGAATGCAGCGAGTGCGGCAAGGCCTTCGGCCGCCGCGCCAACCTCTTCAAGCACCAGGCGGTGCACGGCGACCTGCAGCCGGCCCGGCGCCGCGGCCGCGACAGGGGCTCCCGGCGGCGCGGCTGCATGCTGCTGCTGGGGCGCCGGCGGGGGCCCCGCGCGCCGCGGCCCCGGGAGGCCGGCGAGGGCAGCTCGGCCGAGGCCCGGGGCGGCCGCGGGGGGCCGGCGCAGCACGCGTGCGAGCGCTGCGAGCGGGCGGCCGAGGGCAAGGCGCCGCCCCCTCGCCACTGGCGCGCCGCCGGTGGGAAAGCGTCCTTCCGCCGCTGTCCCCGGGCTCAGCCCGTCGGAGGCGGAGACGGTGGCCCCCGTGCGGGCGGCCCGGCTCCCGCGAAGCCGCAGGAGCCGGCCTCCGCGCCCTGAGGCCGAGAACCAGGGCAGCGAGGCCGAGGGGGCGCGCGCGCTTCGGGCCCCGGCGTCCCCCTGAGGGCAGCGCAAGCTGGAGACCGAGCCCCCTCCTTCCCAAGTCCCTGAAGAAGTGACCGAAGCAAAGCTACTGCTCTGCCATCCCCGTTGTCAGCTGGCCACCACAGGGCACCCGCGTGCGTGCGCAGGTCTGGGTCCCCTGGGCATGCCTGCTTCCTGCCGGGCGGGGGTGGTGGTGGAGGGGGCCGCTGCCTTGAGTTTACAGGGCGACAGCTCTTGTCCTGTCGCGCGGGGCGGGGCCCTTGGCCTCCCCTGAGAGTTGATCGTGTTTCCGGGTAGAAGATACTGAAAGCACTTTAATCTTTCAGAGCTTACAGGTGGTGGGGGCTCTGGAATCGCCCAGCTGAGCCTGGGAAGGCTTGGGGCACCACCCTGTTCTGCGCAAGAAGCTTGGGGGGTCCTCTCGTCCTTCTGGGGCGCCCCCTGCTGGTTGTAGGAGGAGCGGCACCCAGTCCCATGGGAGCCGAGGAGCTGCCTCCTTGCCCTCTAGTCCTTAAAGGACTGAGCCAGACACGGCAACATGGACGTCCCTGCCTCCCCGCTTGCTTCAGTCTCCTTCCTGCACCTGGCACCCTCTGTCCCCCTCCCACCCTCTAGTGCCTAAAGCTTTAAAATTACTGCTCCTACCCTTTGGGGCAGCGCCCCCTTATGGCCGTGACCAGTAGGAGGCAAGTAAGCCAGGTTTGAATTTGCCCTTCGGTGGCCCTGAATTGAATGTGAGTGGCAGGCTAACTGCTTTCCGTGTGACATCTCTTAGAATCCTTGAGATGCCATTGCTTGGAATGTCTTTGCATTCAGGGGTAAAGTAAGCTGAAAATGGAGAGTTCTGCATTTGAGATTGTCAGGGAATGACTCCTTAAATAAGAATCTGGGTCCCCACCCAGTGAAGGGACCTCAGGCAGCAGAAGGGGGCCTTCCCAGGCCCACATCTGAGAAGCTGCTTGTCCCTGCAGCGATGCAATCCCCTCTTCTCAGCGCTTCAAATGGCACTTTACTGAAAGCCTGGGGTGTCCTCCTAGGAAGCACTGGAGGCACTGTCACCAGACGCCCAGAAGATCTGTCCCTGGGTGCTTTCACCCCTATGTCCTGGCCAGCTGGCCACCTCCTTTCAGCCTTCTCTATAGCCAAGGGAGAGAGGGCTTCATTTCCCATGCCACCCGAGGGTGGGCAGGTGATTGATGTCATTGAGACCACTCCTGGGGACACCTGCTCCTGTCAGGAGAATGTGGGGAGACTGGGAATCCAGGCTTCCTCCTGAGGATGCTGCTTGGAGCTCCAGCCCCCAGGATGGCACCAGGTGTGTCATGCACACCTGCACGCATGCACACGCGTGTGTGCACACACACGCACACACACACATACACAAGTCAGATATAAAAGCCTGTTGAACATTCCAGCATTTCTGTAACTTGCTCTTGACTCAGCCACCTCTAGTGATCCCTGTCCCGTGTCCTGTGGCTGCCTTTGTGCCTGTGTGCCTGCCCTACAGCCTGCAGCGGTGGCCCCTGTGTGCTGCGTGTCGAGCCCAGTGCTGGTACTGGCAAGTATGCAAAAGGAGATCTGCACTAGGGCCACCACGGATGCAGAAGGCCTGTCCCCATGCAGGGAAGGTGCAAACAGTAGGAGGCTGTCATGGCCTCCAGCCCAGCCACTCCAAGTGGGAAGTGCATGGCTCATTTTCTCTGAGCCAGGCAGCAGCAGCTTTCCGAAACAAGTGGCATTCCCTGGGTCAGTGTAGACCCTAACTCTAGCTTTAACCCAGACACCTTTACTTCCCTGGTCCTATACTCATGGGTGCCCACCACAGGAAGGACCACATGGGGGCACATTTGGCACAAAGCAGTCGCCAGGGGCGTGGGCCCTACACTCTGATGTCATTGGGGTGCTGGGAAAAGCTCCCATGTCCGCAGTGTTTTCCTGGAAAAGTGACACCGGAAGTAGCAACAGCAGATTTTTTTTGTGGGTTCTCAGTGTAATTCAGCACCTGTCAACCAGGTGGTGGCCAAGGGGCCATCGGGAGCTGCGTTTTCTTTCAGCATGCAATGCAGATGGCTCAAGTGTTGCCTAGACCAAGGTGGCGCCCCGGGAAGGCCACTTGCTCTTGCTCCTGCGCTGCCTGGAAGCCGGGTTCCGTGTCTCCTGCCAGTACTTGGTGGGGAGATTGCTTCCACTTGTCTTTTGAGGGACAACTGGCACATAAAACTTAAACCAGCAGTGGGGTTTGCGGAGAAAAGCTTGGGCTGGGCCGAGCGGGAGCAGGAGGCCAAGAGGTGCCCTGGGGAAACAGTTCCAGGGTAAAAGCTCAGCGGGAAGCAGCCGGAGGCCTGGGAGCCCACACGCGGAATGCAGATTCCGGCTGGTCGCAGATGAGGCGCAGCTTTTCAAAACATGACATAGCTGCCCTGCGATCGAGGAAAGGAAGCTGTTGTGATGAGCGAATGTGAACGGATGCTCACCAGTACTGCACCCTGCAGCCAACTGCATGAACCTGATGCCTCTGAGTGTCAGCCTGTGGCCCGTGGTGCCACAGCATGAGAGGCAGCTCAGGGCTCCTCTGGTGCTCTGCTCGCTGTGCTGCCTGAGCTGGTTTCCTCTTTGGCCAACATCCATGCGCTGCACTCGGGACTTCACAGAACAAGGGCCTGCGGGCTTCCCGGACCCTTCGAGGTCCAGGCCTCGGGCATCCGCGATGCTCTTGGAGCCCCTCTTGTCCTTTGCTCCCAGCTGGCAGTGTGCAGGCTGCAAAAGAAGGCGGGTGCAGACACCGAGCTCTGGCAGCTGTTCACTTTGTCTGACAGCTCTGTGGAGACGCCGTAGAAATCCACCCCCGGCATGTGTGTAAGTTGTGCGATTGGTGAGTTCAGACCAGGCGCGCGCCTGTAAAGCTATCCCCACTGTCCAGACAGTGCCTGTCCACCACCTCCCAAAGCGGCATTGTGCCCCGTCCCTACGACCACTGCTCTGCTTTGTGTCACTGTAGGTAAACTTGCATTTCCTGCAGCTCTGTGTGAATGGGCGAGCCCAGCACACTTGTGGCTGCTTTCGCTCAGTGGAGCTGTTTTGCAGCTCGCCCTGGAGTCCATGTGTAGCAGTGCCGCTCTCTGTCCCTGCAGTAGTGGCTTCAGACATGTTGATGGGCATCTGTGCTGTTTCTGTGTGTGGCTGAGTCAAATAAAGCTGCTGTGAACATCTGTGTACCAGGTGCAGTGTGGCCTTATGTCTTCATTTCTCTTGGGTACAGTCTGGGTCATCAGGTAGTTTATTGTGTTTAACTTTTCTTTGCTTGTGTTTCTTTCCTCAACAGGGTCTCGCTACGTTGCTTAGGCTGGCCTTGAACTCACTATATAGCCCAGGCTGACTTTGAACTTGGGAGGCTGAAGCAGGAGGATACCCACAAGTTCAAAGCCAGGCTAGGCTACAAGCAAGACTTTGTCCAAAAGAAAAAAGAGGAAATGGCCCTGTGAGGACATAGTGACACAGAAAAGCAGCTGTATGAGCTCAGACCCAGGGACAGGAGGAATGCAGGATCCACACGAGGCTTCAAGAAGCTGGGAGGAGTCTGCTCTTGGTCACTGACTGGAAGGGCCCTGCAGGTCCCTAGTCCCTCCCCTCAGGCCTGTCCCTGTTTACAGGGAGACTTGCAATCCCAGAGTGCTGGGCCAACAGGTGTGTACTGTTATACCTCGCTCCGCTTTTTTGTTTGTTTGTTTTTAATTTAGGAATAAGGAGCCCAGGAGGGAAAAGTAATTCTCACTTTGGGTAACTTTGATGATGTCCTGAAGCTGCATAGTTTTTTTTTTTATTAAGTAGTCTTAAAATTATAATTTTTACTATCTCCTTTCTACATATCTTTATTTCCATTCCACCTCTAGTCCACTACGGGCAGGCGCGCACTTGGTATGTTGTCCAGCTCCTGTGTAGCTGGAGCCCAATGAAACAAGGGCAGTGAGGAAGGATGAAAATGGCAAGATCCAGGCAGCAGTGTTGGGCTCTGAGGCAGTGGTAAGGGGAGTACACAGTACAAGGGCTCAAAAGGAAGATAGCCATAGTCCTAACCAATGGTCACTGCACTTCACCATGTGCTGAGCCCTGGGCATGACCTACCCTCCCAGCAACTGTATTGTTGCCATTTCATGGAGGAGGAAACTGAGGTAACTTCCGTTGAGGGCTCTCATTACAAAGCCCATGCCCATCACCCACCACTAGCTGAGGCCCCCTCCCAACTGCTGGGTCCCTCTCAGCCCTGGTGCTGGTGTCCCATGAGTGGGGTTTGCACTGTTCCTGGCAATGGTGGCGATGCTGCCTGTACCCATGCTGCCAGGTTCAAGTGCAGAACAGGGCCTTGCTGGCCACATGCAGGCAGCCAGCAAGGATTGAGCTCTGCCTCTAGTGAGCGGCCTGATCCCACTTGCAAACTCCCAGATGTCCTGCCAGCACCACAGTCCCCTATCTGTTCTTCCCTGCTGCCACCACTGGCACCACCGTTCTGCACAGCTGGCCTTTGGAGTGCCCACATGCTCATCACCTGCCACTCCCACGCCCCAGATGCGCTTCCCTTGTGTTCAGGAGGTCCCCAGACAGCCCGCAGGATTGCTGCCTGCTTGCTGCCTCAGCTGACAGACAGCTTTATTGGTTTGTGTTTTGAGGTGGGGTCTCATTATGTACCCCAGGCTGGCCTTGAACTTGCTGCAGTTGCTCTGCCTCAGCCTCCTGAGTGCTGGGATGTCAGGTGTGTGCCCCTCCACCCAGCAGGGCTGCTGAGAACCCTTGCCAGGAGCCCTGGTCACCCAGGCTTGCGGAAGGCGGTGGAGTTGGGGGCCAGGCCAGGGAGAGGGGACTCTGGACTTTCCCCAGTCCCATCTCAGGGTCTAGGACTACAAGGGAAAGATCACACCTCGTGCAGCAGATAACTGCCCTAGTGTGAGCCCAGACGGTGT